CATCACCAATAAGTGAAAAAAACATTATTTTTACATCAGTGATTATTTTTTTGTCATTCAGATTGACTTCCAGTATCATCTACTCTTTGGTCTCCTAAGTTTGTTTATTCTTCTTGTTCTGGTAGAACTCTCTAACGTGACATTTGTATAGCACCCACTTCCATGCTAGAGGAGTAGGTTCTCTGGACTGGAGATGGACCTGTTTTCATATCAGATGTTAGCTGGGATGATGGTTTGAACCTTGCAAGTGTGAGCCTTTCATGGGAGGAGTACAAAAAGTGGGTAATTCTGATGACTGAAGTGGCAGTTTTGTTCCAGCAAAGTAGAGAAAATCCTAGTGTCAAATTCTGGCCTCTGTGAGCTTAAAGGCATGCCTAATCTCACACAATGCCTACCAGAAAGCAGGACAGAGGCACCAGCAACAGTGAAAACCACACCAAGTGCGGTTTTATGTTCAAATGGAATTGATGGTCATTTCAACCTGAGCTGATCAAGGTTTGCTTGGTTCACGTATCTTCAACTCACACCACCTCTGCATCATACACTTTGCATTCATGTCTCGTTTGCTGTTAACGTCCCCATGTTTATTTTTTCTCTGTGGTGTAACTCAAACTTTTTTCATTGTTCTCAGCATTTTTACCTGTGATTTCCATGGTATCAAACTAACACATTTTTTTCTGCTCCCACATTCACCTGAAACTTGGGTTACTTTTTCAACCCTATCCAGATACAGTATTTTTAATGCCAAATTTAAATATATCAGGTTTATTCTTTGTTACTCTCCATGATTTTCCTTCTACTGACATAAAAATATTGATTCTTCAGTGAAACATTATTTTTGTTACCCATTGGTTTTGGTGGTTTTCTCATCAGATATATTATCTTGACATTGGTGTATCTGCTGCATTCAAGCATTTCTGCTTCTTTAAATGGCCTCATGCCTCACATTTGTGCCTTTAGTAAACTTTAAAAAAAAATTGTTTATAAATCAGAAATTTATGGTAAAATGCATATGAAAACACGAGGAAAAAATTATAGTTTTAGGGAGAACATACCCTGATAATGACCTCTTAAATATTTGTAAAGATAGCCCTGGGCATCTGAGCCCACAAAATAGTTTATAATACAACATCTTGATTACATAATGATACTTTAGTTTTAAAACGTATGATCTTTCTGTTTATGGGAAGGCATAATAGGCTCCTTTGAAACACAATAGTTTTGTCCTGTACATAACTGATTTTAAATGAAAGGGCTAACTAAAAAATGCCTTTCTTCAAGTTTGTACTTCACTTTGTTGTTGAATCCAGCACAATGGTTTCTTTTACAAAACTCTACCAGGCCTGGGGACCACACCTATTTCAGGATACATTAATTGTGAAAGTTTCATGGGTTTCTATACAGAAAGTTACCTAGTACCATTTAAAATTATATGTTTCAAATTCTAAATCTTGTTAAAAAACAGAGAGAGAAATTCCTTCATACCATACCCCCACCCCCACCCCCCCACCCACCCCCACCCCCATATGGAGAATTTTCTTTTATATTCAGTTTTATGATAGTCAAATATAGATTAAGCTTAGGCAGAATGCAATGTGATTTGGAAGAGGGATTTGTTCTGTGCAACAGAAAAGAGTTAATGAGAAAATTTAATTCAAAACAGTTCAAAAAGCATCAGGACTATTTCAACCAATATCAAAGTCTAGTTGTTTGGTTTTGGGTTTTTTTTGTGTGTGTTTTCAATGTTTTTCTGCAATACCTGGTTCCAGCTCAAACTGCTACTGGAGCTGATACTGACCTGCATTCAAAATTATTTCCATTTTGTCTAGAAGCAAGAGTGCAAGAAATGTTCTTAAATAGGTATTCTTCTAACATCTGTGCAGTTACAGAGAGTGGATATAGTGTTCGTTATTGTCCATGATTCTCAATTAAGCCTGAGTTCAGTTGCCTTTTAACTTTCTCATTAGGAGTACCTGCAGAATATTTTAAATTAAAATAGTTAAAATTTACCTATAATTTGGCAGCTAATCTTCTGCATTCTTGAGTAAGGCACTATCCTATGTTTTTTCATATCATTACAAAATTTAAGCTGGAAATACTGAAGTGATTATCATGCTTTTAGCTATCATTTCTGATTGTGGGTCCATCCTGGTTCTCGGGTTCCTCATTAAAACAAACAGGAACACAGCTGGAAATTGGGGTATAAAGCAAATAAAATCCTTGTTCTCCTCTAGGCCAAAATCCAGTAATTCTTTCTTGGTAAAACCCACTCTGAAATACAAGAAACTCCACCTTTACTGAATAGGGGTTGGACTTTATCGCAATGAATATTTTTTCTGAAATGTTCTTTACTATTATACTTAAATGCCAGCACCAGATAGGAAAAGCTGTAAGGCTTTTATTTCATCTTGTTCCTTCAGTATTTATAGCCTGCCACAAATAAACAATGACAGTAGTTCAGTGAAGTTTTTATTCTTGATAGAGGTCCTTAAAAGTGAATTTGCTTTGAAAATTGTTCATAGAATCATTATATTAGAACTATAACGACATATTTCTCTCTCTTTCTCTTTTGCACCACATTGGATTTCCAAAAGAAGTTGTTAACAATCCATCTAAGATTATGTGATCATGAAAAGGGTGTCCAAATCCACCAGTTTGCATTGGTTTGGTTTGGCTTTACTTTTAAAGCTCTTGGAGCAGAAAGTTGATGGCACGTGAACATATAATTCACTTGATATTCTTGGATGATTTCTTTTTTTCTTCTCTGCCATATTGCAGAGTACACAAAAGAAATGCTAACCAGACCTCATCTCTGGATCAAAGGAAATTTATAACAATAATAATGAACTTGTATACTCCAGATCATTTTGCAAGATGCAGCATCTACAAATTTGTCATTTTTAATCTGATCTGGATAATTTATGCAGGTTCCAAATCTATTAGTAATGTGAGACATAGTTATTTCACCAAAAGTGACATGTATTGCTTTCACTTCCGTATATCCAAAAAGGTTAATAACTGAATTGAGTTAGATCCAAACAAAGCTAACATTCTGTTCGGGGGCTTTTTTGTTTGATTTTTCCTCTTTACTTTCTGGTTTAGACTTCAATTTACATGATGCAATTCTTAATTCCTTACCATGAGAGTACCACATTCCTAGGTTGGGAATTACTCTTGTGCTCTCGGTCTCTCGTTTCTAAAACAGAATGAGACTTCAGATTTAAGATAGAATTGCATCACTTACTTAAACATTTTAGTAATTTCCATTTGCTCATATGTTATATATCCATAGATGGATAAATTCCAAATTTTTCTGATTACCAAATCCTTTTTGATTTCTCTCATATAAAATTTTTCCTTATCCTTCTGTAACCAAAGGGGATCTTAATGAAATGAATCATCACTCTCAGTATTATGTTGCAGGACACTCACAGGTGTAGAGTAGAAAATCGTCTAATAAAAGACATAGATAACCAGTGCATAATATGGGATTATTATTCATCTTTAAAATAGATAATTTAACATAAACCAGATCAAGGTGTTCCTAGAGAAAAGACATAAGAACTGTATTTTTTGTAGAGAGAAAGCAAACATGCAAAAAAAAAAAAAAAAGAAAAACTTTATTTGATTTCAGTCTGTATCAAAAAGAAAAGTAAATCTTTTAAAATGTTTCAACATAGTGAGGCATACCTCCAAACAGTCAAGTCCACTGGCCATGCCATTTGTTTGCCAAAGCATGATACAAGTATCCTTGAAACAAGGACTTGAAACTCAGCTTCTTCCTATTTGTTATTACAACAGGCCTTCTGGGCTTTTAGACTTGTTTTCATTCTTTCCTATAGTTTCAGATTTACCTTTTCCTCACCCCAAATCATGAAAAGAAATCTCCCTAGGTACACTGTCATGAAATATTTCCTGAAAATTTTTTGGGTTTGACAAATTAACATTTTCCAAGAGAAAGGTTTTTTTTAAGATAGCTTGCCAATAACTAATTAAAACTTGTAGTCCAAATGATGAGTAGCTTTAAAAAAAACTTGTTTTGTGTAGATTCTCTTAGCTTCTTATGTACTTTCAAGTCTTAAATGTGAAATGACAAAGTACAGTTTAGTGTTTTCAATTTTTAAGCATGAAGATTCAGTTATTGTTGCACAACAGCTTATTCTGCTGAAAAAGGAGAGCAGTTCCCATGTGCTTCAAAATGCTACATCTATGCAAGCAGGGCTGGAAGTGCTATTTTAAACAGTCATATCAGCAGAGCTTGCTGTAGGAGATAATATGTCACAAAAGGGAGTATGACATCTAGTTTCACCTAGAAGATAAACCTTGAGTAGATATGCAGGGAGAAACAAGACTGTCAGGTTGTCCTTGAAAAGAATGGCCTATATTAATGAAGAAATGTACTCCAGGGCATATGCTATTTGGGATATTTAATTTCATCTTCAAACTTGTCTGATCCACTATGAAGAATAAAGCAGAGAAATGGTAGTTGTGTGCAGTCTCGTGCAAATCATGATTTCAGAGTAGGCATCTCACTGCTTTACTTTCAGAAAGGTCACAGCCTCGGAAATTCATGTCTGGAAAACCCAGGCCACAGACTGAGAAATTTCCCCATCACTATTAATATAAACATGCCACATTTATGCAGAGCTAGCATTGCATCGTGTGTATCCCAAACAGCCCTCCTCCATGATCATGAGAGCTAATTCACTCTTCCTTTCCTGTCACACTCAAAATCCCTTGCAGAACTGTATTCTGCTGACAGAATTACAAGATAATTATAGTTATGTGTTTTGTATTCACTTAACTTAATCTACCACTTTTATTTTTCATTGTTGTTTTAATCAGGCAGGAAGCACTTCAGTTGCTGTCAGGTGGATTATTTTTCAGTCATTCACTACCTTACTCTTCTTTAGACTTGTTAGAGCTCTTCTGGCTCCCTGACAGACGCATAAAGAAAAATACTAATATGATCTAAAATGAAATATGTGTTTCTCTTTCAGGTCTAGATGTTGATGGAATATACAGAGTTAGCGGCAATCTGGCAACAATACAGAAGTTACGATTTGTTGTCAATCAGGGTAAGTGATTCCTCCACCCTGGTAATGTTTTGTTTAGTACTTAACTGTCTCAGATGACAGTATTTCAGAATCTGCTATACATTAGTGGCATAGAATGATGAGCCATGTTTTCAAAAAGAGAGGAAAGGGAAGGTAGAAAGATATTGCACAGAGGGAAATGTCAGCTATGAGAGAGGAAAAAGAGCAGAATAAGCAGAGAAAAATAGTAGTTAAACAGGAATTGAGAAACAAACTAACCCATATGTGGAAACCAAAGAATAAAAGTGAGGGGGGAAAAAAGATTAAAAGAGGAAAAATAACAGATTGTTTGGATGTTGAAAAGTAAACAAAACCAAAAGTAGAGCAGGGATCCAAAGGAAACCAGCAAAAGAGAAAAAGGTGCTGAGAAGAACTGAAAAGGAAATACTAAAAGTAGAGTACTGCCTCTGTGAAAGCCAGTGGAGAATTTACCACTGATTTCAAAGGGCAAAGATTTTACCCCAGAAAATGAGAAATTGAAAGACTAACAGTTTGGGGACCTGAGAACCAGAATTAGAATCAACTTGTACATATTTCCTGACAGTATTTCCACATTTACAAAAGAACATTTTTCACATTTGTGGCCTAAATGAATCTAACATTGATCAATAGATACTGTTACAGGTGTGGAAGCTGATATGGCTAGTTAGAATAAATTACAAATGCAGTCACATATTTGAATAGTTTACTACTCTTGGCAAAAACTAAGTATCTCCAGATTTAATAATTCAGCAAATATCGATGATATTGAACCTCCGGATACTATTTAATGAGAAAATAAAATTAAGCTTCACAGAAATTAGGAAAAATCCCAACTCTTAAGGTGCATTAAAGACTCTTGAATTAATGAAGTATAAATATGAAGCTCCAGTAATATTTTCTCCTACTTTTTGTTAACTCTTTTAAAGTTACCTGGAGACTATTACAGAACTGCTAAATATTGTGTCTTGTACATGGTTTCTTGGAGATGATAGCTGTTGGAGAACAATTTCCTCAGTTAGTTTTGTACTATACATAAAGAAAGACTTTTGACTCAAAAGTTCTCATTAAATTGAAATATGCAGGACATAAAAATATTCTCACCTTCAAGCCTCCATTTACATCTTTAGGGAAAGTTTCAGGGGAGCAGTAGGTGTTTGCCACCGCCTCAGCTGCTCTAGATTAGACTTCTTTTTAGCTGAAACTGGAGGACTAAATGTGGTTTATGAGAAATCAGTATTGATTCCAGCAAACTCTGTGAAACTGAATAAATCATCGTTTATCAATCAGCCTCATGGTTTTGACTCACTACTGGGCTTTACTTAGATTTATAGTTGCTGGGTATTTGTGTGCTGATAATGCTGCCTGTGTTGCTTTTCAAAAGACCGTGCACTGTATTTTGTTTGGAGACAGAGGGGCAAAACCAGGATTTTCTATCCTTCTTTACTGCCTAGGATCTTTGCTCAGGAAAAAATGTGCCATAAAAATAATGGCCCTGTCTATCATGTCTCATGGCATCCAAAGGTTAACATACTTTAGGTTAACATTACTTAAGTTTTCACCTAAAACAGATGGGCTGATGCTGTAAAGTTAGACAGAAGTCTAAGCTGGCGTTTTGCAGCACAGAGGTACCAGGCATCTTTTTCTGCTGGTTTATACCACTTTACCATTAATATATAAAGGTGAAGTCAGTGGTACATGAAAGCCACTCTGACAGTGGCATGGGCAAGAAATCTGCTGTTGAGGGACAAAAGAAAATTCAATGAAAACTCGTATCCCTAGAGAACTATTTTATCTTCTTATCAGTTGTGATAATTACTGTTTCTTATGTTAGTCTTTATAGATACAACTAAGGTACTTTTGCATTTTTATCATAATGAAATAGATTTTCAATGGGAAGTGTTACTATCCACCTGAGCACCCCTTATATGTCCTTTAATATACCAGCAGTGAAAATATCTAGCCTGTACTTTCCTTAGGCCTTTGCAAATGCATGAAGAAATGCCAAGGTTCAACTCCTGTAAACCCTAATGCCACTTTGCAGTCCTCAAGGATGGCACTAACACAAAATGAGGGAAAATGGAAGAGTCTAGCATTTCAGTCCCCAAAGAATAATCCAGTAATTTTTAATCAGAATATTCAAGAAGTAACACAGACACAAAGAATGCTTATAAGATAACAGGCCACTGTTTCAGATGTTTCAATAACATCCTTTCTTTCTGCTGGGTTTCTGCAAGCAGGAAACAGCCCACTTAGTCACAGTGTACCTGCAAAAACCATTTCTTTTATTAAAAATTTTTGGGAATGTGGGGATAAGAAAATTTATTGTGTTTATAACGTGTCTTTGGAAGGACAATAATAGTTTCCACACAATGTCCCTAAGAGCCTGACATCCCCTGTCAATTGGATGTTGTGGACAGCAACAGCTTCTGGCTGTTTCATGAAGTCACAAATATTACTAGGAAAACTACTATGTGCTCCTAAACTGCTTATTTAGCAGTCCTCTGAAGCTCTGTAGTGGGATTATGCTCAATAATGCACTCACGATGCATCACTTTTGGTAATTATTATTGGCTCAATCCCTGTACCTTTATTTTTCTGCAGTTAACAGTGGGAAAGCAGTATTTCTACATATGATTTTCCCATCGAGTTTTTTATTATTATTTTAGTTAAAGTTTAATTTAATTATAAATGCAAAAAGAATGTTCTGAAAAAGCCTATTTGCACTGTAGAGATTGACAATGCAATCAGTTCTTATACAGGCCAAATACTTAATGGGCTCTTTCTTCCTGCTTGCTTTGCCATTGTGTTACACCTACATTTATAGGCTATAAATAATATGTATCACATTGAAAATTAAAGATCACAGAAAACACTCTAGGCTGCTTGCCATATTAAAGTATTTTTAATTAGAATAATCATTAATTATAATATAGCAAAGCTTTATTTGGCTCCTTTTCCTATACTGTTAATGTCATCTGCAGCATCAAAAATGAAATAAGAGAGAACTGGTGAATATGAAAGAAAAACAAATGAAGGTTTGACAGCTTTATCATTAAGGAAGAAATCAGAATAGTAAAAATCTAAAAAGACCCTTGAAATCCTAGATTTTTGGGGGTAAGGATAAGTTTATAATAAAAACTCACTCTTTGTATCTTTTTAAATTCTCTGAATACACTTTTGTGTTTCATTCTTATTTCTTGAGCTAGGCATCTCCTGAAGAGGGCTTTGACCTTGACACCACAAGCATCAGCAGAACAAACTACCTTATTTATTTTATTCCTTTCATGGAGTTTTCTTTGTCTGTAAAAGTCTATTGATATCACACCTTTTTGCTTCTGTGCAACAAGATTATCTTTTATCTGTGATTTATTTTCCCATTAAGAGCTGAAAAGATCATTTGATCATAAGAGGACCAGGCTATAACATCTCTCGGCACTTTTGAAACTCTAAGTCATCATTTTTCAAATCACTGAATAAAAGCAGTAGCAGCTGTTTAGATCAAACTGATATCAGGAAATTCATACTTTTCTTAGTCTTCAAGCACTGAAAGAATTTTGGTTTTAGAAACTAAATTCCAAGTAATTCAGTGTTTCAGCCTACGAACCTATGGTAAAGGCTTCTATTATAGCCTGAGACATTAGACAGAAATGTCTATTCCTCTTATGCTTTTTGTATTACTGGTTAAATCTAACAGTTGCAATCTTAAAAACAAACAAACAAACAAACAAAAAAAAAACAAAAAAAACAACCAACCAACCAAACAAACAAAAAAACTAGTTAGCAATTCGTTAGGGATTTTATGAAAAATCTGGAGGAATTTTGTTGGTTTGAAACAAGGTCCAGTAATACATTTATTATTTTATTTTATTTGCACATATTTACAAGGATATACTTGAAATTCACACCTGTAGGAAAAAGGATAAGGTACTGTAAATGGGTTTGTTAAGCCATGTAAAATGTGCTAGCTAGGGTTTAAGAATGCTACTGAAATGATCAGTTGTTTTGGCCTAAAGCCCCAGGCCCATGGGAAGGGATGGGGAGAGTCACAGGTGGGGGCTGCTCAGGGCTGCTAAGGTACCACTGTATGAAAATGGAGACAGGTGGAAGACACTTTTCAGGAGATAGTTTCTGATCTGATAAAATATGCCAACACTGAAGCAAAAAGTGCTTGAGAAAGAAAAGCAAGAAAAAGGAAGTCTCTTCATCCACAAGGATGTTAGTTTATGAGTGTAAATTTGTGTGCTCTCTGCTCTGGTTGAACCTGTTGTGTTGATGTGCACTGTGATATAATGGGGTAAGGACATGGTGCTAAACTTGGCAGGTTCCTTGTCTTGCTTGCATGCATCTGTCGCAGCAATCCTCTATTCCCTTCTGTGCTTGAAGACCAGAGATACCTGGGTAAGGAGGTAGAGGTTTTCTTCTTTGTGCCTCCTGTGTTAATCTGCTGGGTATCTGGAAAGGCATTCAATTTTTATGACTGTCAAACAAGCAGTTTTTGTGGGTACTAAATTAATTATAAAGGGTTCATAACACATTGCTGAAACACTAGTAATCTGTCCTAATGCATATATGTTCAGGGAAACTAACCATAGAAATACAAATTTTAATACTTATCGGTTCATTCAGTAAGTGTTGTCTCATACATAATACAAGAGTTCCTAATTGTCTTTATAGCCAATGCTTTGTTTGCAAAATGCTTGGTATTTGCTGTACAGATGACCTTTGCATCCGTTATTTTGTTTGAAATACCTTGTGCATTAAACAAACACCACGTACAGTCCAAAGGTCAATTACTGTGGTTTTATGTGCTTGGTTACTATACTTATGTAGTAAAAGGGCAGAGAGGGTTGCTGGGGGATAGGGAGAAATATGACTTTTTAAGAAGGCTAAATATTTTGTTGCTGCAGAAATGTACATTTCTTATGGAACATGGAAAAGATATCTGAATTGGTGACTACATTAGGGCGAAAAGTGCATTTAATCTTACCCTGATGTTACTT